ATGGTGATAGCTGAGCAAAAAAGACATCTGTCGATTGTGCAGTCGGGGCATCTGATAGACAGTGTTGTAGGCTCGGTATGGTTGGCTGGATCCGCAACACACGCAAAGGACTCTGCGGGGCCGAAATGTTTTGTAGGCCGGTCAGTCGAAATGCGGACAGACGTTTCGGGTCACCGAAGCTCATCAAGGCTGGTTTCCCCATGGTTGGAGATACCGAGGTCTGCATATGCAGACATTGAAGGCTTCCACCAGCTGAACTAGCAAAACCCCTGGAATGCATCTCCGTAGTTGCTGTGACAGATGAAGTGGCTGGAACCGGAATCCAAACTCCGAGACGATCAGGCGCCAGGCCTCGGCGCACCTGACTCTGTCCACCGTACCAGGAGTTGCACATTCCGACCATTTGAAAGCTGCTGTTCTTCCGACGCTTGCGAAATCCTGTTGGCTCCCCGAGGGCAAATGAGTTCGACCGATTGTTGTTGACTTGCCGGTGTTGACAGCCGGAAACAGGACGACAGCCGGACAGCCGACTATTGGTGGATCCAAGCTCAGAATAGAAGGCTGTAGAACAGTATGGAAGCGAGATAGTGCGGTCCATGCAGCAAAGTCCAGGTAAAGGGTACGAAGCTTGCGTCAGACCTGGATGGATCCTGGTTTGGTCTGGCAAAATACCATGTCCATTTGCCAGGGTGTGACAGTGATGTTGCAGATGCACACGAGCGTGCTTTAATTGATGTGGGTTCGCAGAATGACCTTCAATTTGTTGTTGGAACTGGCGATATTGCTGAGTTTGATTGGGCAGGTTGGCTGGCTGTGAGGTGCGATGACAGTCAAGCGCTGAGTTTCGATAATTTATATTGAATGTGGACTGAGATAATGGAAAATCCGTTTGGTGCAGACAGGCGAGGCAGCAGACTGAGGGTAAACATAGTCGGCTGTATAGCAAATGGTGGGGGAAAAGAGGGCCAAGAAATGAAGAGAAAACGATTGCCGTGAATCGAACGAATACTGAAAACAAGAGTTTCAAGGAATGATATAATACCAAGCAGAAGCATAAAAATACGCCTTCATTAGAAATGTAGGGTAAAGGCTCAGATAGAATCAAGTAATGAGATTTTCCTGAAGAAAAAAATTCAAAAAGGTAGGTAAGGTATGTAAAATGGAAAGTTTATCAGCTAAGGCTTCGGCACATTACACCTACTGGGAAAAATCTATTTGGAAACGCAGTCGGGCTGTCTAGACATCTCAATTTTGCAAATGTTCCTGGACTTCACCACTCTCATTCGATGGGCATTAGCTCCAAATAATTTAAAAGAGAATCGTGAATTTGAGCTTGCGCATCCCGACATAAAAAATCTTTTTTTCGAAACAAAGATATGTATATCAGACAGCTTATTGCCAGACTGTATTTGCATCTAAAATGACTAGACGTTCTGAAGAGTCCTTTGGACTGGGTTCACTCTTTCAGTCCTAGTGATCCTATACAGTGGCATATTTTCGGCACAATGAGGTTATTTAAGTAGCGGGAGGCTCTAGATGCATTCTAACGCAGGAGTTGTGATAAACTGATAATAAACTAACCAATAGTTTAGGACCTGACTCAGGAATATGACTCAAAGAGATCGGGCGGAGTGATTTCAAAGTAACTTCCATCAACATGTATAAAAAATTCTTATAAGTAATATTTAGATAGATTAGGGCTAGGTGGAGTGACTCAACAAATAAAAGGAATAAAGTTGCCTTGCAGAAGTGACAACGATATAAGATATTGGATATGTTAAAAAAATGAAATTGAGCTAAATGTATGGTCAATCTGTGTTCCAAATTCAGAGGAATTGTCAAACTAAGGGTGCATATTTGTATAATTCCCTATTTATACATTTGCCTAACTCCTAAATATTCAGTTATAGACAGAAAATATAATTTTGACGAATCACACAGAAAATATTTGCCATTCAATTATTACATATTCGAAGCATACATTGATTTCCACTCAGTTGAGCAATTTTGATAATGGCTTCAATTTTTGTGTTATGCCTGTTTGGTGTCACTGTCGCCTTTTGGTCTCATTAATGAGCTAGTAGATTAAATGGGCTTACTATAAACTAGTTAAGACAAGTTTCAGACAAAAGCTAGCAGTGGAATTTGGAAATCTGCAATCAAGCCATAACAAAGGATCTCTATTGTCATAGTTCTCGTTTATTCTGCTGGAAATATATTTTTTAAAAACAGAGTAGTTAGAAGAGTTCTAAATGGCAAATAGAGGTCAGATAGAGGCAGCTTTTCATAGCATCATTTTACATCTCGGTCTACAGATCTACTAAAAAATATTGAAATAGAGTATTGTAATTACAGAACGAAGAGCGAGGTCATTTGATCGAGTAGGGGCTTTAACCAAAAAATCTGCAAGGCAAGACTTCGCTTCAACCCTTATGATGTTAAATACTTTTAAAATAATAAGTAGGGCTTACTCAAATTATAGTTGGAAAATTTTACCACTCTCACGAAATGGGGTAAATACCATCACTTATATCAAATCTGTGATCAGTCTTAAAAAACTACTTACAAACGAAAAGTAAGTAATGTAGTCGATTATTGTAGCAAATAAAAATTTGCTTCATCGACAATCCCACCAGAACAATATGGTATGGGAACTACCCAGGCTTCCTTAAAATTCACTTTTCCCCTGTTACCCAAAGGTAGTCGTGGGAGCAGGGCGTGGCTGTTAACATGTCGAGACTATACGCTACACTAGCCGAGCTCGAATCCAGCTGAGGGTGCTGATGATACGTAAGCTAATTTGAAACTGCTACCCCCCCCTTTGGGAAGCAAAGCTATGTAAAATCCAATGGAAACTAAAGGATTGCTTATATTGAAATGGGTTGACCTCGTTGTGACAACTTGGTCTTGTTGTCAGGGCGACTTAATAGAACACACCTAGTCCGAAGTCATCTGCCATAGTAGTTGTCATGACTCCCAGCATCAGACAGTGGACTTGGTACATTCTCAAACGTTTCGCCG